ACAAACACAGACAGACACACGCACAGAGACACACACAAACACAGACACACACACACACACACACAGCGACACACAGACATACTGTTAGAAAGGAACAACCTGCCCAAGGGAACAGTTAGTACATCTCTTTACGATCTGGAATTGTTGAGTATGCTGGAATAAAAAGTCCCTGATGAAGCCTCAATAGGCAATTCCACTTAATACTCCACTTGATCAATATTTTATACTGACGCATTCAGATTCGAAAAGGATCTGTTAACGCGCATTAGCTACACCGATTGAATCTCGTTTGTGTATCGATGTGTATCTCCACGTTTTGTCTATCTCCCAAACGGGCCGGCGCTCCCGGATGAGCGTGTCCCTTGTTTCTTGTGGTTGATTAGTTTACAGCAGTTAGACTCTTTCCTCGGTCTGGAACATTGCCAACTGTCACCAGCCGCCTCTCTCTCTTTTGCAGGAAGCTGCTGTCGAGCTGATCTTCGCTGCTTTCTCCACGACGGCGAGTGCCTGCACGTCCATGGTGCTGCTGCTTCTGCAACACTCCGAGGCGCTGGACAAGGTGAGGCAGGAGCTGGACCAGCACGGTCTGCTGGCTCAGTGTCAGTGTCCCCAGGACTGGCCGCTCTCCCTCCACACGCCCTCAACTCCCGACAACAACAGCGCTCAGCACCGAATGGGAACCCAAGCCAATCGGCCGGGAGCTGAAGGCTGCCCTCCTCCTTTCACCCGAGAGAATGTAACCCGGGACAGCAGCTCCATGGGTGATAACATGTGCCACCGCATGGAGCATGCCAGCGCAATGCCAGGAGGAATCTGCTCCCAGTCCCTGATGGAACCTGGAGCCTGGCACTTTCCGGAAACCATGCCAGGCCAGGGCACCGTGCCAGAGAGAGAGGCTCCAGACTGTGAGTGCCAGCCCCTCCTGAGGTTGGATACCCTCAGCCGCCTGCGTTACCTGGACTGTGTGGTCAAGGAGGTGCTAAGGCTATTGCCACCTGTCTCAGGGGGCTACAGGACAGCATTACAGACCTTCGAACTGAATGTAAGTAGCACTCCGCCAAAGGATCTCTTCCTTCCCGTGAGGAATTCGAAAATCCCGAGTGAATAGCACCGGAGACCCCTCGGCCCATCGTGTCTGTCACGCTCCTTTTGGAGGAAATTCCCAGTTAGTCACGTCTCGCCGATAGCGCAGTAAATGCTGTTTCTCCCAATGTTTATCAAATTCCTCTTTGAAACTTGTAACTCTGCTCCCTCAGCCCATTCAGCCCCTGCAGGCCTTTACGGTTAGTGAATGAATCGGCCTCATTCTCGCACTCCTCTGTGAAGTGAGCTGAGGGGAACGAAGGTGGGAGAAGTGCACTAAGTCCTAATGCTTGTTGGAGAGCTGGTGCTGATAGGACGGGCCGAATGGCCCCCTTCTGCCCTCTAACAATCCCGTGATTCTGCACCCTTTACCAATCGCCGTGTCTTTCACTGTGGGGTTGCAAGTAATTTTCTGCATGTGACCCAGTGTCTCTGCAGCTCAGCAACATCCAAATCAATTCAATCCCAATAACAGGGGCGGAATATTCGTGTCCGTGATATTTATTCCCGATTCGGAAATATCCCTTTATCCCGCAAGGAGCAGACGAACCTCCGGTTCATTGGGACTGAGGGGGGAACAGACTGGGGGTCACAGTGACACCGAAAGGGATAAAATGGTTGGGTAAGCATGAAGCGAGAGGATAGAGCGGCAGAGTGCGTTTAAACCCTACTGTGGCTCCAAGCATTTGCTCCCAGGTTCAGAGTGAGGGTTACAATAACTAAATGTTTTCCATTTTAATTAGTTTTAGATCGTAAGTGTGAAAATCTATATAGCATTGTCTCTCAATGTGTATAAAGACAGGGGTCCCACCGAAAATAAACCCCCATCACCCGAGATTTGACGCCAAGTCTTAGGTACAGCGGAATTTCCCCTTGACTGACGCAGACACCGCCGTAAATATAACAATTTGGAGATAGCAAGGTGTAGAGCTGTAACAATTTGGAGAATTGGCCATTTCAGCTAACCTCAGAAATATCCTCCATTTTCTGATGGTGATACAAGGACAGGATGGGGTGACGGAATAACTATTGATCCAACACAACAGACATGGTAATGGGATTAAATGTAGTGATGGAATACAATGGAATGGATTGCTACATCTGACGCTGTGCCAGCCCACAGTCCCCGTGAGGCTAACAGGATTTGTACATACCTTCTTAAAACGAAGGCAAAGGACAGCAAATACTGAATTCTGATGGAAACTCATTGATCTAAAGCCTTAACACTTCATTTCCCCACAGATACTACCTGACTGCCCGAAATTTTCCCCAGCATATTCTATCTGTAAATCCGAAACAAAAACGGAAATTGCTGGAAAAGCTCAGCAGGTCTGGCAGCATCGGCGGAGAGAAATCAGAGTTAACGTTTCCGGTCGAGTGACCCTTCTTCAGAACTCTTTTGGTTTCTATCTATAAATCCATCTGTTTAATAGGACATAACTGGTACTGGGATCCTTTCTAGACATCTCTAGTAAGCTGTTGAGCGGAGTTAATGAGTGAAGGCGTTCCAGCTGGTCGAGCAGGGGGAGAACAAAGATATTCTGAAATGGTAAACTCCACCTCTGATAGTGCCCCAGTGATTCCTGATCATGGTGGGAGTGAGGGTGAATGCTGGGTCTGGGGGATTGCTAACTCAACATATTTCAATTTAGGTGTGTCCAATGTGCCTATGGCTAATGCAATCCATCAGAGATAACACAGTGTGGAGCTGGAAGAACACAGCAGGCCAGGCAGCATCAGAGGAGCAGGAAAGTTGATGTTTCAGGTCGGGACCCTTCTTTTTCATTTTTTTCTGAAGAAGAG